ATCACAGATTGAGGCAGAAATTGTTTTTCACCGAAAACGAATACCGAGAGGACAATAAAGAATTTGAGCCAATCGACGAAGACGGAAACAACCTCAGAATTAGCAAATTCAAAGCTTCCAAACTAAGACTGAACCGTTAGTACATATATCCGTTCCGAGATATTTTATTCTTGTTTGTGCATATCTACGGCCCTCGAGGTTGGTTGATTCGGCTCATTATATAATCCTGCATTTATAGTCCGGGGGAATACATCGGAGTTTAGAATTCAGTTTGCTGGCCTGAATCTCGTGTGGTTAAAAGAGTCCCCTCTATAAGATAACGACTCCGAATAACTATATATATAGATACATCTGTGCCCTTAGATGGCATGCAGATAGCCCAAGGAGTATACTAAATACCCCGTATATATAAAATTTATAATGCTCCTTAATGGGATATAGCTTAAACACATTTAAATTACGGAGCCCATTACGATGGTTAGTATAATATTCTAATTCCGAAATTCAATTACCGGTAGGTGAAAAAAATTCGTTGTCCAGAATAATAATAATAAGGAACGGTTACTAGAAACCGACATTTTTGCTTATTGACAAAAACGACCTATTTACACGATATATATGCGAGTATATATAGCCCCCAGAATCCCAGTATCTCCAAACTTTTTAAGTCACTGTATATTTTGTTGAGATTGAAATTTTGTTGATTAACAATTTTTTTTTTGTGATCCGTCGTTTAAATTTTGTTGTGCATACTCAGCGACTATTTATATCAATTATTTATTCTTTTTCCTATCAGTTGTTAGATTTGAGCTGTTAGAACTTATAATTCACTATGTCATCCATTTTAAAGCAAAGGGTTAGATACGCCCCATATTTACAAAAATTAAGAACTGCTGAACAATGTGTTGAATTATTCAAACACGGGCAGTATCTTGGTTGGTCAGGATTTACTGGTGTTGGGGCACCAAAGGTAGTTCCAGATGCTATAGCTGACCACGTTGAAAAGAACAATTTACAAGGAAAATTGGGATTCAACTTGTTTGTTGGTGCTTCGGCTGGACCTGAAGAAAGCAGATGGGCGGACAACAATATGCTTTTGAGAAGATCCCCTCATCAAGTTGGTAAGCCAATTGCCAACTCCATCAACACGGGCAGAACTCAATTTTTCGACAAGCACTTGTCGATGTTCCCACAAGATTTGACGTATGGTTTTTACACCAGAGAAAAGGAAAACGACTTGTTGGACTACACCATCATTGAGGCCACAGCCATCACTGAGGATGGGTCAATTGTTCCAGGTCCTGCAGTGGGTGCATCTCCAGAAATGATATCAGTTTCTGACAAGATCATCATCGAAGTGAACACTGTCACTCCATCGTTCGAAGGTTTGCACGACATTGACATGCCAGTCAACCCTCCTTTCAGACAACCATACCCACACACTACCGTTGACTACAAAACTGGATTAACTGCTATCCCAGTGGATCCTTCGAAGGTTGTTGCCATTGTTGAATCCCAAACCAGAGATAAGGTTCCTCCAAACACCCCATCCGACCAAACTTCCCGTAACATTGCTAACCACTTAATTGAATTCTTTGAACATGAAGCCAAGTTAGGTAGATTACCAGAAAACTTACATCCATTGCAATCCGGTATAGGTAACATCGCTAATGCCGTCGTTGAAGGTTTAGCTGAATCTAAATTCAAGAACTTGAACGTTTGGACTGAAGTCTTACAAGATTCATTCTTGGACTTCTTCGAAAGTGGTTCCTTAGACTTTGCCACTGCTACTTCCATTAGATTAACCGAAGCAGGTTTCGACAAGTTCTATGAGAACTGGGACACCTACTCAAAGAAGTTATGTTTGAGATCTCAAGTTGTTTCTAACTCACCAGAAATTATTAGAAGATTAGGTACCATTGCCATGAACACCCCAGTCGAAGTCGATATTTACGCCCATGCAAACTCTACCAACGTCATGGGATCAAGAATGTTAAACGGTTTAGGTGGTTCTGCTGATTTCTTGAGAAACGCCAAGTTATCCGTTATGCATACTCCATCAGCCAGACCAAGTAAGACCGACAAAACAGGTGTGTCATGTATCGTTCCATTCGCAACCCACGTCGATCAAACGGAACACGATTTAGATGTCGTCGTTACTGACCAAGGTTTAGCTGATTTAAGAGGTTTATCTCCAAAGGAAAGAGCCAGAGAAATTATCCAAAAGACTTCTCACCCTGACTACAGAGATCAATTGACTGATTACCTCGACAGAGCTACCTTCTATGCTGAAAAGAGCAAGTGCTTGCACGAGCCACACATCTTACAAGATGCCTTCAAGATGCATCTTAACTTACAAGAAAACGGAACCATGAAATTAGATTCTTGGGATAAGAAGTTTTAGATCATCATATTTATACCTAGCGGTTTTATGTATGTAAAAAATTGAATGAATATATGAGTTTTCATAGCACTTCTTATTGTAGCTAATAGTAATACTGGTTTATAGGATACGTAGAGATCGACCTTATAATCGACGATAGTATCACGTGATATAAATGACCGCATAATTTTTTTGAAGACATTTTTCCAGAAGCAATTGGAAAAACTACCGTTCTTACAGTTCTTTGTCATATATAAGACTTCGTATATCTCAATAACCTAGAATAGTAATCGATTAGGGATTAGAAGTAAACAGGTTTGATAACATGGGGAAGTTTAATTTATATCCATCGATAAGCAGTAATATTAAACGTACAGTTTTAAACTCAATAAAGCCCAAATCGGCTTCGAGACTAAGCTTATTCCACTCCGTACAACCAAAACTTCAAGCGAGGGCGTTTCATTCGTCTCGTAATGCGTTGATTAACTTCGATCCTTACCAGACATTGGGGGTTGACAAATCTGCTTCGGCTAAAGACATCAAGAAGGCATATTATCAGTTAGTGAAAAAGTACCATCCAGATGTTAACAAAGAGAAGGATGCTGAAAAGAGGTTCCACAAGATCCAAGAGTCATACGAGTTATTGAGTGATAAAGAAAAGAGATCTCAATACGACCAGTTTGGTGCAGCAGCCTTTGATTCAAACGGTAATGCAAATCCATTTGCAGGTGGTAATCCATTTGGCGGGTCTCATGGTGGTAATCCATTTGGAGGAGGTGCAGGTGGTAATCCTTTCGGAGGCATGGGATTTGACTTCGAGGATTTATTTAAGCAAGCATTCAATGGCGGTGCTGGTGGTAGAGGTGGTGGCGGTCAATTCGTGACGGAACATGTAGGAGATAATATAGAAGTCTTGAAGACAATAGGCTTCAAAGAGTCTATTTTCGGGACAAAGGTGGAGATTAACTATAAGGCAGTTGATTCATGTAATACATGCAAAGGAAGTGGATTGAAGAAAGGGAAAAAGAAGACTACTTGTTCTACATGTCACGGTACCGGGCAGAGTACCCATATTTTAGGTGGGTTCCATATGTCATCAACTTGTAATTCATGTCATGGGACTGGTGTGACTATTCCTTCTAGTGACCAATGTACTAGTTGTAAAGGTAACGGAGTTGAGGAAGTACCTAAATCCACGTCGATTGATTTACCATGTGGTATCGCCGATGGTACTAGATTAAGAATTCCAGGTGCTGGTGATGCTCCTTTCATCACAAAGGATCCTTACAACCAAACGAGAAACGGTGATTTGATTATTAGAGTTCACGTATCTAAAGACCCAGTTTTCACCAGAAGCAACAACAAGATTGTTGTAAACCAGGATATTATTATGACTACTGCTGCATTAGGTGGTGAAATTGTAGTTCCAACTATAGACGGACAAAATATCAAGTTGAAATTGAGACCCGGTGTTCAAAATGGTAAGGTTTTAACAATCCCAGACAAAGGTGTACCAATAAACAGAAATATTCAAAACAGAGGTGATATGGAAGTTAAGTTGAACGTTAAGACGTTGATTCCAGAAACCCCTATACAAACTGCGCTTTTAGAAGCTTTGGCTGATGCATTTGATGACAAAAACGCTAAAAGAACGGACGCACACTGGAAGTTAGATTTAAACGAAGATGATAAGGAAATTAATGAAACTCTAGATGAAAAAGACTTGCACCCTTCAAAGTTGAACCGAATCGGCAAATTCTTGGGAAAGTTTTTCAACTTAAAGGATGAAGACAAGAAATGATTATAAATAGGTAGCATTAATATGATTGTATATAGTATTTTAAGTATTATTTGTTAAATAGATAAATCGCTTGTTCTATACGTCAAGTATTTCAGAAACTTCATAGTACATAAGATACCAGCCGAAAGCTCACTTTTACTCTATTCAATGCCCAAACACGTCTACATTTTATTCCATGCATACACTATTTCAATTCTCCAACTCCTACTTTTAAACAATATTCGTTACTAATTATATTCCGCAAATGTACGAATAGAGCAAAGATGAGCCACCATAGAAAGTTCCGATATTGCCTTTCGTAGATGTAGCCTATTATCTTCTCCTGGTCTATACGTTCGACAAGATAAAACTCAATAAGTAGACGCGAAACCGATGTCAAATCGCGTCCCTCGCTTCGCATAATTGACATCCGTGTCGCTGGGACCAGACCTTCATCAACATATTTAGAATCCAGTAAGAATGGATCGAAGACACAAGTTTTACCGTATTGATGAAATATATGCCCGTACGTGAATACCTATTTCATCGCAAATGCGTTTTTTAACGTGTGCATCTTCATGCGGTATTGTTCTTCTTCATTTCAGGTTTATTCATTAATTCATTCCTTACATATAAACAATAAAAGTGCGTAAATAAAATCGTGTTTTATTTAGAGTACATTGATTTTACCATTTTATTAATTAGCTGGACTTTCGGTTACATGTTCAATTAAAGTTCATATATGATCAAACTTCTTGATACTTGGGTTCATATTCCAATTTCTTTAATATCAGAGTATTTGAATTAGGTTGTGCAAACCTCTGTACTTGCTAGACCATGTCATTCGCTACAAAATCAAAGGTTCTACCTGCGCTACCAATTGTGATAGAAAACGATAACCTTGAAGATATAGATATAGACACAGGTAAATCGGGCAGCAGAGAAAACAAGTATCCTAATCCTTATTTTCATAGCAATCCAAGTCAATATTCCAGGGATAATTTATCTATGACGTCTAAGGTTTCTTTGACAAGTTCACATATACCACCAACGACGAAGAATGAAACTCAGATGATGCGTTCTGGAAGTGGGAGTTCTATCAAATCCAGACCAAAACTGGCTATATCTCAATACGTCGTTCAACTTGATAAGACCCCACTGAATTTAACACCTTCACAGAGGCTTAAACTCCGCAAGCTTCAACTCAATAATAGTATCTCCAATTTTAACTTGCCACAGAAGGATAGTGGTAAATGCTTTATGGGCGAAGAAAGTGACGACGACGAAGAAATAGGCGAATACGATTGCGTTTTTAACGTTCCATTTTCAGAGCCCTTGTCAACTTTAAGTCAGAGAGAAAAGTTCACATTTGACAATAGTGATAGGAAATCTCTGACTACCGACTCCACCAGATCTTCTTCAATCTTAAGCCATGAGAGTTTTGCTGAAACTTCGTCTATTGTTAGTTGCAATTGTGATGATAATAATGGAATTACATCTTCGAATTGTTATACTGATTCAAGTCGAAGTAAGAGTCTTAATACTTTAAGTATGGGTGATCTAAACATGTCAAAGGATGCACAGGACTTGACTTTGTTATTTAATAGAAATGAAACTTTTCAAATAAATGAAGAGAGTCGGCAAATGAGGAAAATGTTAAATAACTTAAAGAGAATACCTAAGTCTATGCCTTCAACTCCAATTGAAGGTTCGTTTTCTGATTTATCCATTTCCGGCAAAAACAACTCCTCAGAGCTTCAGCTGCAACCGAATCCAAGATTATTGTGCCAAAGATCAAAATCACAGCCAACGGTTCCCATGTCTACAAAGGAACGGAAACACCAGAGTGCACCGTCTAAATATTATACTTTCACTAGACCTACTTGGTTACCACCGAAATCATCATATGATAGAATGAAACATCAAAAAGAATCGGAAGATATAATATACCGGGCTCTTCAGAAAGAAGCACATGAGAGAAATTATAAATTAAAGCAATTGGAAAAGATTAAAAGATTGAGAAAGAAAGACGTAGAAGTATGGAAAACTTTGAATTTTGGAGACGACGAAATACTAGGAAAAACGAAGAATAGCAGAAAAGTCCAAGAAATGTATTGGAGAGGTATACTGGAAAATATAAGATCCAGGATATGGCAGAAGCAAATCGGTAATACCTTAAATTTGCATGAAAAAAATTGTGATGCTTACTTTGATAAATTTGATTCAATTTTTATTAAAAAAGTTGATAAGCTTGATTCTTTACTAAGAAGTAATGCTCAATGTATGGTTGCATTAGAGCAGCTGGTTGGTAAGTCTGGTGGAAAAGAATTGTATAGTGAAATCAAAAATGCTGAGATAAATTCGAGTAAAGATATTAATATGTTCTTGAAAGCAAATCAAAATATGATTTCTATAAAGGCATTGTATGATAGAGTAAGCCATGATTTATTAGATACTTATCCCGAAATTAAGTATTTTCAAAACCATGACGTTTTGCTGACATTGACTAGAATAATTATCAGCTTTATCATTTATTTAAATGAAACCAGAGAAAAAATTGAAATTAATGAGCAAACCTTGGGTGAATTAAACACCAATTATTACTTTTCTGGATTGAATACGTTAGCTGCAATATTATATTATCACAAAAAAAATTCATATGCAACGTTCATTAGTTTGGCTAATATTTATGAAAGGAAGTTTCCAAAATTGCTACTTAGTTATAAGGCTCAGACTGATATTACGAACAAGCAGCTTATCAATAACGAATTATGTGAAAGTTTTATGAAAAATTTTGAATCTTCATTCAAAACGAATTTAAATAGATTATCCACCCATTTCGATGTTATAGGATTGAAATCACTTGAATTCGTTCCGGAAATTTTGTCTGGTGTATTCTCCAATCTATTCAATTTTGAATTAAGTTGTCAAATCATGGATATTTATGTATTCGAGGACACCTCTTTTTTGGTAAAGTGTCTTTTGGCTCTACTTAAACAAACGTCATTTAAGTTGTTTGGAACCAAACAGGAAGTATTAGATCTTTTAGGAGAAAAAAACAGAGAGAATTTAAATAGCCAGGAGTCCAATAATGACACTTATAGATATTTGAACGTTGGATACGATTATCAATTTGTACAAACTGTCAAGGAAATGGTGCTTTGAACGTGTACATTAGCTTAATAATTTTTAATTCTTTCAAGTAATTAGTAAATATACATTATAATTTATACAAAAGAATATTATCTGTTACACTTCAATTCGATTTAAAATTGCCGTGAGAAGTTAAGGAGAAGAACTCTGTTATTTTCTATTTTTTAGCATCATTAAGCACATCTAAGAGCTTTTTCCCATCGTCTGCAGTTTTAACTTTCAAAATGTAAGTCTCAATTGACTTATCGGTTGGATTGACCGTTGGAACTCTAACCATTGAACCATTACCAATAGTAGTGTAGGTCATGTCTTTGTTAACTAAGGTATTTAATAAAACTCTCAATCCACCTTCTGCTCTGACAAGTATTCTTGACTTTCCTGTAGCCTTGTTTTTTAAAACTTTTAAATCACCCAAACCCTTAGAAGCATATGGGTTTTCTGTATTTGATGGGTCAAATAACATTAATTTTGTTCGCTTAGTGTAGAGCGCTTCTTCATCTTCTTCGCCTGTTTGACTATCAACTTTTTCAGAGGATAATTGTGCTACTGCTTTGAAATCACCACCAGTATCTTCTTCTGCTGGCGCTGCTCCTTGTTGTGCGTCTGGAGTAGCAGAATTCGATTCTGTTTCTAATTTATTACTAGTGGCATTGAAAGTGAAAGATGGTGTTGAATTATTGTTTCCAAATAATGGAGTACCAGGATTCGAAGAGCCAAACGAGAAGGCCTGTTTTTCAGATGATTGGGATGGTGGTTTAAATGAAAACTGGAGTGACGATTTAGGGTTTTCATCTTTTGTTTCTTTATTTTCTGATCCAAAAGAGAATGGCTTTGGAGTGGAATCTGAAGTAGAACTGCCGGAAAATATGCCTTTATTATCACCATTAGAAGCAGACCCAAAAGAGAAGGCAGTCTTCGATTCATCTTTCTTTTCAGAAGGAGCATTAAAAGAGAAGGACAGTTTTGGTTCGTCTTTCTTTTCGGTAGATGCACCAAAGGAGAAAGCCGGCTTTTGTTCGTTCTTCTTTTCAGTAGAAGAGCCGAATGAGAAAGCAGGCTTTTGATC